ATCCAGTTAACCAGACAACTAGGAAAACCTTTTTGAAAGAGTCCAGCAATAAGGAATTCCCGAGAAACTGAATCAAAAGCTTTCTTAATGTCTAGTTTGGCACAAAAAATCTTAGTTTTTTCTTTTTTTCCCGCATGAAACAATATATCAGAAGCCAACAAGATATTATCAGTAGAGACTCTGGATTTTAGAAATCCAGCTTGATTGTCTTTGACTAAAATTCCTGAATGATTAAAGGACAGTTTTCAAACCAACATCCTAAAGCTGGACATTCAACGTTCTACTAATAACCCTTTCAAAAATGCTCTGTTTATATTTATTTCACAAGCATGTAACCAGAACTTATAGTGCAACACAATTTTTTATGCATCCAGAACTTATATTTGTGATGAAAGCAAAAATAATTATAATGTATTTTCATATATCCCGAACTTATATAGCTATATGAGAATAAATTTTATTCTCGTGTAGCTATATGAGAATAAATTAATTTGATATTCTTATATATATTGAGATGAAAGCAAAAATAATTAAATGTATATTTTTTTTAATTAATAAGATTATAAACTAACAATAAGTAAATTAAAATGTTATCCAATTTAAGCAAATTTTTTATAACTTTTAAATATCAAAATAGTATACTTATGTTTCATTTGTGATAGCTTTCATATTGTTTTCTAAATCAATTTTTTAGTACAAAATTTCTTGAACTAAAAATTTTTTATTATAAAGCCTCTTTAGAAAGCTATCCAAAACGGAGCCTTAGTTTCTTGGCAATGTTCTATCATACTTCAAAATAATATGAAAAAAAAATGAATATCTGATATTACTTCATATCAATTTATTTATTTTTAATACAAATATATTTTTCATAAATATTTAAGAGTTGATTTTAAAAAAAGTTTAATAAGTATGTAAATACATATTATAAAACAAAGTATTTCTATGTTTTTTTTTTAAAGGAAAATTAGGGGCAAACATGCCCAATTTTCATTAAAGAATAAAAAAGGTTACAAAATTCAAAAGGAAGTAAGAAAAACAAGAAAAACTTACAACCCAATGAAGAGAAAAATAACAGGCTAAGACTACAAAAAAAAACATAACCTACAAAAATCCAAAAAAAACTAAAGCTACAAAAACAAAGTAGCCCTATAAATAAAGAACTAACAACCCCCACAACAGTAATTATAACAGAAGCAGTAAAAAACTACAACCACAACATCTAGAAAAGACAAGTCCCTCCACCCAAAAAAATGCCTTTCTCAAAAAGAGCCAACAACAGCCATCCAATAAACTATTATAGACTAGCAACAACAGCCAGAACAACCGAAGCAACTGAAAAAGTAAACCACGATCAAGCAACAACAGTAGGATCCATAGAAAAAATCCACGAAATATAAGACCACAATCCTTCCAGCAGCTTCAGAAGATAAATGAGCAAATCCACGCAAGCATGCTCACACCTTCCAGCAAAAAAGCCAAGCTCGGATAATCTCCTCTACCTGAAACAGAAAATCAAGGAAGATAAATAGAAACAAGCCAAAAATAAATAAATTAGAAAGACTAGAAACCATACCACCTAATGAAACCCCCACAATAGTAATTATAACATAAGCAGTAAAAAACTACAACCAAAACATTCATAAAGGACAATTTCCTCCACCAAAAAATTGCCTTTCTCAAAAAGAGCCAACAATAGACCACAGACTATCAACAACAACCAGAACAACTGAAGCAACTAAGCAAGTAAACCATGATCTAGCACAATAATAGGATCCACAGACTGAATCCACGAAATATAAGACCACAATCCTTCCAACAGCTTCAGAAAGATGAATGAATAAATCCTTGCAAGCATCCTTTCACCTGCCAGCAAAAAAGCCAAGCTCAACAAATCTCCTCTACCTTAAACAGAAAAACATGGAAGATAAATAGAAACAAGACAAAAATTAAACTAGAAAGATAAGAAACCAAACCGTCCAACAAAGACAAGCCCCTACATAGAGAAAGGAGCAAAAACCAACCAGCAGCAACAACCACGATCAAGATAGAAGCCCAGCAAGAACCTAAGATAGAGAAAAACCAAAAACCAACCAAGAACAAAAGCAACTACCTCAACCAAATCAACAACCAAACCTCCAGAAAAAAATAACCAGTAATCATAACATAAACAACATACTAAACCCACAAAAGAACACCAGCCCAACAGCCAAAACCCAGGAAAAAAATTCCCCAACCAGCCAGCCTAAAACCCCACCACAACCACTAACCAACAAAGAAGAGAAAGAAGTGCAAAAAATAAAACAAACAAGATAAAAAAACAAGCTATTAATGTCCATCCATATTATGAATCAATTAACAAAAATAGCGAAAGAACCAACCCAAACAAAATTAAACCAAGAAACTAAAAATCTCAGAAAAAGTTTTCCAAACCAAAATCTTAGCAAAAACTACCTCCTATCATTTCTTTTGCGCCACAAAAAATATAAAGAACAACAAGTAATTAAAAAGTAATAATATCTAACATTACAAGGGACATTAAGCTCTTTAATAAATTCTAAAACTTAAAACATATTAGGTTTAAAAAAAATTGATTGAGACTAGGAATAAAAGAAGATAAGAAGGAAAAAGAGAAATTACATTCAAAAAATAAATGATTATGAGACTCTAAAGCATAATTGCAAAAAACAAAACCTGAAGGAATAAAAATATTCCTTTTAGAAAGGATATCATCAGTTTTAAGACTGCTTAATAAAGTCATCCAAGCATAACAAGAGTATCTTAAGGCATACCACTTATGCCAGATATATTTATACCAATAAACTTTAGCATACCCATGAAAATAAGCCAGATAAAAAATCTTAAATTTTGGATGAAGCTCCCCCTCCCATTTAATACTAGAAATCGAAGAGGTTTGAATATCAATGGAAACATTTAAATTCTTCAAACAAACCAGTAAAGATCAATTGCCACCCATGATTGCATCCTTAACAAAAATATTATGCCAATAAGAATTTATATTAGGAATTAATTTGTGCATCAAAAGACCATCCAACCAAGGATCCCAGTAGAGAGATAAATTATTTTCAATAGTGATAATAAAGGTGATTTTATCCTTAATAAAATGGGCAAGCTTACAAAGACGTTTCCAAAACCTAGATGCCTTATAAGAAGGCATCTTCCACAGAGAAATATAATTATCTTTAACCCAATGAGACAAAAGGCTCTTAGCATTTAAAATTCTCCAAATCAGAGAACAATTATAAGAAAAATAAACGGCATTAAGATCTGGAATCCCTAATCCTCCATAACATTTTGGCTTACAAATATCTTTCCAAGCAATGACATGCTTCTTCTTAGAATGTAAATTGACATGAAAAAGAAAGTTAGAACAACTCTTCCTAATAAACTTAGAACATAATTTAGAAATAATCATGCTTCTAATCCAATAAGCAATATAGTTTGTAATATAAACCTTAGAAATTGCACTCTTCCTGCAAAAGAAAGAATTTTAGCTTTCCAACAAGATAATAAATCAATAACCTTTTGAAACAAAGTTGAAACTCAACAGCACTTAGCCTTCTAATAGAAATGGGGATACCTAAATATTTAATATAATTCTAAGAATAAGAAAATTTCAATACTTGACAGAACACATCTTTTTCCAAGACATCTTTAGAAAAGAGAGCCATACTTTTATTCTGAATAACATAAAGACCAGATCATTTAAAAAATTAATCTAGAATATCTAGAAGCTTCTTGGCATTACAAACCATGGCCTTCCTAAAAATAAGCACATCATCTGTTTATAATAAATGAGAAATATAAGAATTTCCCACTTTAAAGCCCTCAAAAAGATCACCATAAATTCTATTATCTAACAAATTTGAAAGAGCATCCATCACAATACAAATATGTAAGGAGATAAAGGACACCCATGCCACAAATTAGAAGAAGAGCTAAAGAACCCTTATAAAGAGCCAATAATACTAATAGGAAAGTAAGTATCTTCTATACAACACTTGATCCAACTAATAAATTTATTAGAGAAACCTTTTTGAGCCATTCTATGAAGCAAAAATTCTCTAGAGACCGTATCAAAGGCTTTTTGAATATCCAACATAGCACAAAAGCATTTAATTTTGTTAAAATTAAAACTTCTCAAAATGTTAGAAGCTAATAATGTATTATCCAAGAAAAATCCTCTTTTTGATAAAACTAGATTGACTTGGATGAATAATGATAGGCATAATAAATTGCATACGATTAGCCAAAAATTTTGCCACTGTTTTGTAAAAAAATATTATATAAAGAAATAGGCCTAATATCAAAAATTTGAGAAGAATGAACATTTATGAATAAGAGAAATAGTCATAGCTTTAGCCACTTTATTTATATAACCAATGGAAAAATAATGCGAGATAGCTTTACTAAAAGAAGGACCAACAATATCCCAAGCATTTTTAAAAAGCTCAAAAGTGTAACCATCTAGTCCAGGAGTAGAATTAGATGCTGAAAAAATGACTTTTTTAATTTCTTCTAGAGAAATAGGAGTAATAAGACCAGAAATTGCAATAGAAGGAATGAAATTACCTCTCAGAATATCAAAATTAAAAGATAAAGAAGACTTAGGAGAATTAAAAAGAATCGAATAATGAAGAATAAAAGCATTATCAATATCCTTAAAATTAGAAATTAAACCAACAATAGAAGAAATAGCTATAATAAATTTATAATTATTCCTACAACGGATCTTGGAGTAATGAAACCCCAAATCATTATCATTATTAGCCAACCATCTAGCTTGAGATTGTTGAACCATCCAAGAATTCCATAAAGATTGATAATGAATTAAAAAAGCATTAACATCCTTTAATTCAACATTCAACTTAATAACCAAAGCATTTTTTGAATTTCTTGTGAAAGCCAGCTCTAAGAAGAATGTGAAAGTTCGTTAGGGATGTTAAGCGCTTAAGAACTAGCCCGATGCTAACTAAGAGGGGGGAGGGGGGTGAATTAGTATTTTAAAAATTTTCTTAAACAAAGCACAAATAAAAATCAAACCAATATCACCACAAAGAAATCAACGTGCGAAAAAATAAATGCGGAACGCAGTAAGAAAAGAACACAGAGAATTTATAGTGGTTCGGTCAACTCGACCTACGTCCACTCCCCGGAGGCGCCCTCCGGGTATTGCACTACAAACGCGACTCTCATTTTTCTCCCACAGCAAGGCGGATGAGCCCTTACAAAAACTCTTTTCCGCCAACCCCGGCGAGGCAGAGAACCCAACTCATTTTGCTTCCTCCTGAAGCAGGCAGAGAACCTCGACCAATTGCTGAAGAAGACCTCCCTTGAACCCCCAAGGATGAAGGACGAAGATTAGAGAAGACACCTTGGAACCTTGCTTGGAGCAACCTTTGTGATCCCTCTCACAAGTTCCTCCCTCTCTCTCCCTCTCCTCTTGGCTCTCTCAGATCAAGACAGCAGTAAAAGATCTTACAAAGTGAAGAACAAGATCTCTTAAATAGAAGAGCTTCAGAATAGCTCATTAATTGCAACTTGCCGACTTTATCATCCAGTACGATAAATATCATCCTATACGATCAGTGCAATTTAAGCCTAATCAGCTAGGACGATCTGGGACGAACAAAAGAAATTTGTTCATATCATCCAGGATGATAAACATATCATCCTGTACGATTAGTTCAAATCACAGATTATCGGCCAGACAATCACTCGGAAAGGAGGTCTAGACGATCCAAAATTAGCTTGATCGTCCGGGCCGATCGCACGATCGTCCCGGACGATTAGTTCAAAATTGAGGAAAATCATCCAGAACATTGATCGAAATAAGAGCTGGCCGATGTTGATCATCTAGGAGCAACCAAGGATTTTTGAACTGATCGTCCCAAACAATGATGCGTTCGTCTAGGACGATGTGATCGTATCAATCAAGCCTTAATTGCTTTTCTTAATTACCAAATTAATTTAGGCATAATTATGTTAAATCATCCAGGCCGATGTAATGGATCGTCTTGGCTGATATCCAAACATAAATCTTACCTAAATAGATCTGACAGCTGATTCTTTATTATTTGAGCATATCGTTCTGGCCAATATAAGGATCGTCAGACGATGCGCTTAATTACGGCTGTCTAAACTAGGTTGTCCTAATTAGGGTTTCTTTTCTTAATCGGATCGTCCTGACCGATATGGACATCGTCCAGGCCGATGTACTCAAAATAGAAAATAGTAAAAAAAAAAAAAATCAAGTGTGTTTGTAAGGTTACTTAGCATCAGAAATCACTTTTACAATGGACTCAAGAAAGAAAAAAAAAATACAAACTGACTCAAACTTAATCTACCCAATTTTGAGCTGGCTTGAGTTGCACTCGATCTTGTGAACCTAAAAAGTTAGTAGGCAGGGCAGTCGCATACAATTATGAATGTTTGCCATCATCAAAAGTCTAATCCATAAACTCAGATTTGCAAAAATCTCCCTTTTTTTATGATGGCAAACACAACCAGAAAAATCTAAGCAGTTATGGAAGTCTAATGAGAATAGTGTAACAAAAAGCAGTTAACTAAATTCTAAAATCAAAAGTACAAGTTACAGCAGACTACTCCCCCTTTTAACATCACAAAAAGGATGAGGAAACTAAAAAACAGAACATAAACTAAAACAATCATAAGAAAAACAAACTACAGAAAAACAACATAATAAAAAATTAGAAAAATGAGGGATCCTGATCATCAGACGGAGGAGGTGGTGGTGGTGGTGGCTGAAAGTAACTAGTCAATGTGGCAAACTGAGATCCAAACCAGGCCATGTCCTGGTCATGCTGGTGCTACATGCAAATGATGTCCTCAGTATGTTGCTTCTCCTGTGCAGCAACATAGGCCTCAAAGCGAGTCTCCCACTGATCAAATCTCTCCACCAACTAATTCAGCTAAGAGTGCTAGCGGAGAGGAACAGGTGCAGGATTAGGAGCGGGAGCCTCCTCCTCCTCGGCCCCCTGAGCTTCCTCATCCCCTGGGTGGAGACGACTACCGTGAAGGATGTTGAAGGAACTGTTTGAGTAGAAGGGTGGATGAAGGTCGGGAGGAGCAGGATATTGAAGGTTGTATTTGGATTCTAGAACATATGCAATGTGCCCTAGAGTAAGATTGGGCTTTGTTCTATTGGATTGATTGATCGAGAGAGAGTAATGCTGCACATCTTGTATCAGTGATAGGCAGCCTGATCGTCTGCCTCCCGAAATTGAGGGTCCAACGTGGCCCTCGAGGAGCTTCCAAACATGTGACGAGAATGCTTGTCGCCAGCCATTAACATAAAAAGCAATGAACAGGAGGAAGGAAGCAAA